GTGTGTGTGTGTGTGTGTGTGTGTGTGTGTGTGTGTGTGTGTGTGTGAAAGAGAGAGACATGCTGTTCAAAAGCAAGTGAATTAAGCTCAAAGAATGCATATCCAATGCAACCTTTTCTGAACATGTTATTCTCAATTATGTTCTGCCTGCAAGAATGTCTCCCAGGAACGTTTCTTGGGTTTTGGAAATCTTGCTAAGTTAAAGGAACCATTTGAACCCAAATGATTTAGCCCAAAAGATTTAGGTTTAGAAAACCGAGTGAGAATCATTAAAATCAAATTGACCCTTAAGGTTCTAGGCTGTCTTAGCAGTCTAAGTCCACTCCCACTGTGTTCCTAAGTGATCTCCTAAGTGAGTTCTATGAACCTCTTAGGAAGAGCTTTCATACTCTTAACACTTCCCCGAGAACCCTGACATTCCCCCAAGTGAGCTCCTTTACGTGTTGCATGTGCATCTGGCCTTTATTCAGTACTGCTTGAGGTTCTGGGCCACCTCTTTCCCTAATCACCTCAGTGTTTCCGTGCCTTGGGCCTGTGGCCACTTTCTAAGTAGATTTCCCTGGTGGCCCTATTCCCGTCCCTCCAAAAGCATTTCAGTGTCAGTTCGGAGATGACATCAGAGCTGTGTGAAATCTGAAGGATGACTACCAATAGGGAAGCCCATTTCTTAGCATTTGGTCGTCTGGGTGCACTGTGTGGCAAAGCCCACACAAAGGATACCCTGCCGTGGGACGGCACTGCAAGCCGCAGACCCTGGGTCCACGAGCTACATTGACAATAGGTTTTCCGTGTGTTTTGCTAGAAGTCACTAACCTTCCAGTCTTCAGTTTCCTCATCTTTCAAAACTATCTAGTATTTCAAGTGTAAACCCATTGCCCTTGAAGTACTAAAATAAGCATATCACACCCCTATGTTAATTTGTCCATCTGTCTAGAAATGCTTCCCAACAGTGGACACTAGTTGGAATCACCTATGTGGCTTGTAGATGAGTCTAACCCCCTGGGGTTGGCCAGGGCTATATTTTAGTATTTTTAAAACCCCTAAAGCAGTGATTCTCATGGGATGCCGTATTAAGAACTACTTTTTCAAAATGGGGTATGTGTGCTTATGAAATCCTGGATGTTGACAGGCAGGGTTGACTGAGAAAAATAGCCCTTACAAGAGGGCTTTCTTCAAAAAAATCTAAAGTACGCCCACTTTCAGACAAATGAGTAGGAAGTCTTTAGGGACGAGGTGTCAATAATAGCTGTGCATTTTAATCAAAGGGCTGTGTTTCCTTTACTTCTGCAGCTCTTCCGTTCCGGAGTGTTAGACCCTGCCCATCATTCTCCACGTTGAGATATTGTTACCCTCATTCAGAAGATGAGTTTTCAAAGTGCCTAAATAATTGTCTGGAATTTCTACATAAACCTCTGGGGTTTGCCTTTGATCCATGATCATTAATATCATTAATAGGCCCTCTAAAAGCGCATGTGAATCTCAAGCTAGCTTTTGGCAGAGCAACGGGAGAATGAATGCTTTTAAAATATTTTGGCTCAGAAAGCGCATGTGAAATAACCCTGTGGGAAAATCAGGAGACTTTCTCATCCTGCAAAGGATTACCTAGGATGGGATACTGACCTTATATTTTAAGTTCAGTTACATTTCTTAAAACCCCCGTTCATTACCCAGCCTGATTTATATTAGAGGGCGAAGTAGCTGTGAGAGGATTCTATGATGTACAGTTCGCGTTTGTCTGTTGTTTTCTGCAGTTCCCAGAAGACGTGTGTGTGTGTGCGCGCGTGTGTGTTTTCTTTAAAGAAAAAAAAACAGCGTCTGCAGGAGATTTACTACAGCTTTTCTCTCAGAAACTAGCTGGAGACGTCTTTTCCTGGGGCTCTAAGGCGATCAAGTCCCAGAAGGTTGGTGTGTCAGGGTGAGCAGAGCGCTGACCTCCACGGGGGAGAGGTCACCTTAGCACAGAAGACTCAAAAGGGAGGAAGAGAAAGCAACTCCGCAGCAGGGATTTGACTTGCTTTAGGGCAGAAGAGCTTCTCTAAAGGGGTCCCCAGTCTCCCACGCCCTTTCGCCTGCTCTTCTGTTCCTGCTCAGCACCATGCTCAGCACACTCACCACGCCACACAGGCACAAGCACACACAGCCCGCCCTCCTGCTAAAGGTCTCACACCCTTCCTCCACCTGCCCCCAAGCAGTGTGCAGATTGGCAGCCCCTTCTCCAGAGGAGGCAGGTGATGGGTGGGCTGGATATTTTGCTAGGCCCAGTGACTCCGAAGACCTGTTGAGTTCCTCCTTCCACATGCCTGTCTGGTGAGAACACGGAGCTTTCTCTCCCAAACCCTCTGTGGGTGCCTGGGAGGGCTCAGAGCAGCTCATCCATTCTTGTCAGAGGAAGGCTGAGTTGGTAAATCAAACTTGGGCAGGGCGCTTGGTCCATATCCCAGAAGGAGGAGCCTAGAAAAAGCCTCCAAGGACGCCAGAAGCTTGTGAAACAGCAGCATGGCTTTATTTACATACTCCCCCTTAAAATACTACCCTGGTAAGCTATTCTGCTCAACGGGAGATACCCAAGGAACACAGGGAAAAGCTTCCTCCAGCGGCTCGCTAGTGAGAAGGGCTCTGGTCATCTGAAAGAATCTCTGGGACCAGGGACTCTCTGCAAAGGAGTAGGGGGCTGAGGCATGTATCTGCTGTTACGAATTCTGTTGTGAAGCTAAGAATCTCTAGTTGGAAAGGACTCAAAGCATGCTCCATCCATCTAGGGACTTTCTGCAACAAATCAGCATGCTGTCTCTTGAAGATGACATTTCTTATCAAATCTGATGTTCTCTCGAACCTCGGTTGTCCATGAAGTGGGCTCTTGTTTTGTATGTTTGTTAGGTCTAATGCCAGAGCCCTGTAATATTTTAGGCATGCCCACTGAGTTTGTGAGAACCTTTAACTGCTTCGCTAGCAGCTGAGCATGTCTGCCTAGGCCAGCTGCCCAGCACATGAGAGCCTGACAGGGGTAGGGAGAAGAAGGTTTGACATTTAGTTTGTTCTCAATCCAGGGGGTAAAGGCCAATATGTAATGTGACAGCCATGGAATGAACATAATTGCTGGGAAAAGCTCTGTAGAGGAGGAGTCATTACCAAAAAAAAAAAAAAGAAAGAAAGAAAAGCGTTTCTGAAATGAAATGCCCACTCTACTGAAAACCTCTTAGAAGTGGTCAAACGTCAGGTCCTTTCATAGCAATAAGAAATCGATCCAATGCCATGTCTGAGGTCCTCCAAAACCAGGCACCTCAGTTGGGCACTGATTTTAGAGGGGAGGATGGAGAAGAGAGAGCTGTGTAGTCAAAGGCTGTATAGTCAGCAGTGTATCCGTGCAGACCGTGCAGTTGTGTGGAATTTAACAGGGCCCCAACTTGGCTTTCTTGTGTTCGCTTGTTCTTGTTTGTTTCCTACAGTCCTGTAGTTAGTTCGTTCTCATCTTGAGTGGGCTTTTCTTTCTGCTACTGGTAGCAGGCACTGAATTGATCAAGGAAAAAGCCAACCATTTGTATAATCACCACCCCACAGAGCTTCTGAATGTGAATACAGCCTGGTTTGATTCTCCCTTGCAAGAGGGCTGTAGCTTTCCATTGCTGTATAACAAATTGCTATGGATTTACTGCCTTGACAACACACAGGTCAATTACCTCATCATTTCTGACACCTTTTCGTCGGATCCTCTGCTCAGTGTAACGCTGAAATTGGGATATTAGTCACATTTTATCCCCATCTGAAGATGCAGCCAGGCAAAGGTCCACCCCTGACCTCCCCTGCATTATAACCTTCTTCCTTGCAACAGCAGCTGAAGGGTGCCCGTTATCCATCTGGCTATGCCAGGTACTTCTAGAAGCCGTTCTGAGGTCTTTGCCATGAGCCCCCCGCCACCTCATTAATGGAGAGACCTCCACTGTCTTGAAATATCTCACATGCTGAGTCCGCTGACTTCTCCTTTGGTGACCAGAGTCATTTTTCTTCTGAAAACAAAAACCGTCACTGTGGTTCTGTGACTATCCAGTGTCCCTGGGAAATGTCTATCTTTCTGTCCACCCAAGTGAGACAGTACGTTTGCGAACAACCATGACTATCGTCCAGTATTTGTTCAACAACAAGGGGCCAGGGATCCTTGGAGGCCATCACTAGCTCCTGCAGCTTGTAGCTCTTCTTTGATGTGTTCATCTAACTGAATACCTTCATCCTTTAACGGGCTCTTATCACAGCGCAGCTAAAAGCTAATAGCAGCCTATTTTCTTTTCCTATAATGGTTTCAGTATTGCATGACAAAGAATTCTGGAAATATCCAAGTTGATCCAAACCCAGAGCACAAAAACAAGGCCCTAGTGGGAGAAAAATTACAAAATCCAAAATGTGGATGGAAGCGCTCTTACTGGAATCCAGGAAGTCTGGCCCAAGAGCCCTTGCCTTTGAGCATACAGTCTGGCTTGCACACCAAGAGCGTGAAAGTAACAGTCAAATGTCGAGCCAGGCCACTGTGGAAGCAGAAGCGCGGCAGGAAATATCTTAGAACCTCGCTGGTAACTGAACTGCAGCCAGTGTTGTCCAAATGAGAACACACAGGAAGCAGGAGATGGTTGGGTGCAGATGGAGAAAGCAGGGCGTGATGAGACCTGACCCTCTTCCCATCTCACCCCTTCCTGCCCCCTTCTCCTTAACCCCAGGGGCATGTTGCCTTAGTTTTATTCAAACCTGTAGGCCATCCACATTTGCCCTATGTGACTGCCTTCTGATAGGAGTTTTCTAAAATACACTTCCAGCACCACAAAACCATAGCGAACCCAT